CATCATTGGGATACTGATGAATTGTTATATTTTTTAACAAAATGTAATTAGAAGAATGTTTATTGATGTATCCCCAGACATCAATAGTAATATGAAAACAAAAAAGTACTATATACACACCTGGACGCCCATTTGTTAATAAACAACTGATAAACGTTGTATAAAAGTTTTGTCGGGCGAGATGCAAAGTGTGTTTGTTAATTAAGTTGAATTGTCTAGTTAGACATCAAAATGTTTTCTATAATTATTATTCCATTTGCTGTATTATTTTTGTGTAGCAATAGCTTTGATGTTTAGTTTAGATTATTCGTATTTCTATTATATCATACATTGTATTTGACCTATGACGTTATTATCACGATCAGTGATTGGTTTAAAACCGATCTATCACAACTTGAGTTTCGTGTCATGTGACACGAGGTCTTCGCGCCTTTGTTATCGTTATTATTATTTTTTGTTGTTGTTCCAAGCCGATGTTTCAATTCCAGACTCAAGTCATCGATCAGTCAGTGTTCAGCGCAACCCACCTCAACTCAAAACTGTTCAACTGCCTCGCATTGAGATACCAATTTTCCGCGGAGACCCACTAACATGGAACGAATTCAACGACAATTTTAAGGCCACGATTGATTCAAATACGCAGATTACCGATGTACAGAAGTTTACATACTTGCGATCATTCATTGCCGACGATGCCAAGCAACTCATAGACAGATATCAGATGTCTGCCGAAAATTACAAACTGGCCTACGCATTGCTAGAAAAGTGTTACGAACAGACACAACTTATTATTCAAGAGCACATGGAGTCATTATGGACGCGTGCACCACCCGATTATAACGCCACATCCTTGCGAACATTTCACGATAATCTGGACACAACTATTCGCTCACTAAAGGCTCTTGGACAGGACGAATCTCACTACGAAAAGCTATTGATGATACCGTTTTTACTCAAGCAACTGCCAGTTCAATTTCAACGACAACTTACTCGAGCCAACACGGATGACACGTGAACTTTGGCAATGCTCAGCAAAGCCAATTATGCTACATGAAATCAAAGCTGTCAACATTGGATCAGACGACGTTGCAGATAGTGATCTCTACCCATCATCTGTTGCTGCCTTCAACACCAACAGTCAGTATCCTCAGTCATAACAAGCAGCTGGTACCCATGGTAACTATTAATGCAATTCACATGTCTCTAACAAAATAAAATATACTGCTAATGCCAGAACACACACTGCACAAAACAATGCTAAATCACAACAGTATACACCCAGATCACCACATTGCACTTACTGTAATGGTAAACATTATACCACAGACTGTCGTACCATAGCAACACGCATAGATCGTTTAAAATTTATTCATGATAACAAGCTCTGTTTTAATTGTTTAGGTCATCATCTTTTGTGAGAATGTCGCTCCCGTTGGACTTGTCGCACATGCAAAGGCAAGCATCACACTTCAATTCACTCGACTATTTCGACAGACACGCAGCAAAATAAATCAAGAGATACACACATAAATTTTGCGCATGTATCAAATCACTCTCCCAAGCGACCATTTCTCAATGGGTGGTCAAATACAGACCCACCACCGCATGTCTTGCTGAAAACTGCACGAATCACCACGCTTGGCAATGGTGTTTCTCGGGTCGCTACAGTCCTTTTTGATGAGAAGGCTGATAGGAGTTTTGTGACAACAAAGTTTGCAAGTTCGATAAATGCAAACCCCAATTACGTGGAAACCCTCAATCTGAAATCAATTTCCAATCCGAAAACAGGGTATAAAACGATACCTCGTACCACCGTCGGTCTTCTACAGATAAACGGTATAAAGAGCGCAATCGACTTGCTCATGGTTGATGAAATTTCCAATAATTTAGATAACAATCTCATGTACGATTTACGCAATACACCCACTTTCTCACGACACTAACATGACTGTGAATGTATTGATTGGTGCTGACCATTATTGGGACTATGTTGGATCCCACATCATTAGAGGTTGCAGTCCTGTCGCAGTTTCTTCCGCTTTCGGCTATCTCTTATCAGGACCTATTCCTTCAACTAGACGGAGTGGAAGAAATATCCAGACATTTCATATATCCAGTGTGAAAATCCCAGACACTGAACTCGATAGTTTAGTCACCTCGTTTTGGGATTTAGAAATAGTTGGTGTCATTAATACAATCAAGTCAAGCGAACTCAAAGTAGCACAAAATGAACAATACACACAATATATTGATCATTGCCTCACCATCGAAGATGGAAGATACACAGCCAAATTACCTTGGAAACCGGATCACCCTACCCTACATACCAAGTATCAAGCAGCAAATACTCTCACCAGAAAAATGATCGCCAAGCTACCAGACAATCTTGTCAAAGTTTATGACAAAATTATCAATGATCAGTTGCATAGAGGTTTCATTGAGAGTCACCGATGATATTACAGACATCGGACACTACTTACCACATCGCTCAGTCAAGAAGGACAGCGAGTCTACTCTAATTAGAATAGTGTACGACTGTTCAGCAACTACTGGCAAGGACCAGTCCAGCCTCAATCAGTGTTTAGATACAGGACAGTATTTTTCGCGCAGAAGAAATCAAGACAAGACGCGGAATGACCAACCAAGACATTTCATGTTTATATCCGCTAGAGATATCAACACACTCTGCGAGCAGCAAGCAATCTGATGAAGAAATATCAACGGACATATCTGCAACATCATTGATCAATTCACAACCGATCAATGATGAAGTAGACAATTCTAACACAACGCAAATTCACAGACAATCACAAAGAAAGGCAGCTCAACTCGCCAAACAAAGAACCACCATGCAGTACAATGATAACTCTGTGTGAATAATCACATTGACTTTTTACAAACTTTTCGTTATCATCAGAGAACTCTTTTCAAAATAGTGATTTATTACTGAACATCTAGAAATAAGTAAGAACAGTATTTCTCATTACCGGTATAATGAATATTGCATAATTAGGCAAGATATTCATTTGTTTCTATGCCGCATCATTCTATGTTATAATGTTCCCTTTAGCGAATATTTGAGCATTTTACATTGATTCTACAGTTAAGCAAACTCACTATACTTTGATAAAGGTTTGCCAGCAACTCGTTTGCGCCGGGAGTATGTTGGGCCGAGATGATTATTTATGTACAGCTTTACAAAATCTTGCTAAGCATTGTAAAGAGAGAATGTTTGTACCTGTTTTCTATATATTAAAAATCGTCTCTTGAGTATGCCCCACTATTCACAATTCTGCGAAATTTTAAGTCTATAGCCAAGACTGTTTGGATAATAAAAAGCAAAAAAAAATGTCACTCCAAAGTGCCCCCGAACCTGCACCTAGTACCTTAATTTACTTCCAAGAATCATTTATTAATGGTTCTCTTCCCAATATTAAGTCTCAAAAACACCTTTTCACACGAAATCTCGAATATGCGTGCGAGTGAGTTGGTATAGCACATGTATACACACTGATATACTACACCTGCATTGATAACACACTCACTTTATTGACAGCATTCACATTAGCACCTTTATGTAGTAACTTCTCCACTATAGGTGTGTATCCAAAACAGGCAGCGAGATGTAATGGAGTGTTCTGGTCCTGGAAATGAAAACATTATTTCATTATCTTAGTGATTTGCATTGTAATTAGAGGCTTACACAAGCAACTACCGGTATTGATAACATGGCCAAATACAGTGTTGTGACCAGGGTCATATCACAATCAGCTAACTTTCAGCCAATCGTGGATAGTGTAACAATGCAATTGATGCACACCATCTATTGGGATACTTATGAATTGTATGA